GCTAAATTCGATGATTTTTCGTACGAAACAAAATGCAAGAAAACTTGCTTAAAATGCATTATTATGCGAAATTCTGAGATTTGAAGGCCAAATCACATATCGTGATACTACATGAAATAGTATCGAAATATTGGTAAAAATGAATATATATACGTAATATCAAACTACATGAAAAACGTGAAAAAAGTCACTATATAACCATATTTGAGGATTTTAACTTCAAATCATAGAGCGAGGTTTCGTATTATTTAGATCCAAGAAAAGATATATGACAATGTTGTTTCCAATAAAAATGATAAAAATCAATGTGTTTTCATTAGAATTAACTAAAATGTTCCTGATTTTCCGTTTATATTACCGATAGAAGATGTACACGAAAACATCTCTATTCCGGCTGAAACGTCGATATATGCAATAAAAACAGAACTTCTCCCCTTTTCAATATCTTACTCAGTATTTTAACGAGAAACAAAAAGTTGATTGAAAATGAAGTATTTAATGTTATTATCTAATCAATTATGTGTTTGCATCATTTTTATCGTATATATAATGAATTAATACTGAAAATTCACAACAACGTGGAAAAACAGCAAAATATTGCCTAATTCGATGATATTTTGTTTAATTCACATAAAGGAAAAGGGGATGATAAACGTTAAAATATTGCTAAATTCGATGATTTTTCGTACGAAACAAAATGCAAGAAAACTTGCTTAAAATGCAATATTATGCGAAATTCTGAGATTTGAAGGCCAAATCACATATCGTGATACTACATGAAATAGTTTCGAAATATTGGTAAAAACGAATATATTTACGTAAAATCACACTACATGAAAAACGTGCAAAAAGTCACTATTTTACCATATATGAGGATTTAAACTTCAAATCATAGTGCGAGGTTTCGTATTATTAGGTCCAAGAAAAGACATGACAATGTTGTTTCTAATAAAAATGATAAAAATCAATGTGTTTTCATTAGAATTAACTAAAATGTTCCTGATTTTCCGTTTATATTACCGATGGAAGATGTACACGAAAAACGCTCTAATCCGGCTTAAACGTCGATATATGCAATAAAAACAGAACTTCTCCCCTTTTCAATATCTTACTCAGTATTTTAACGAGAAAGAAATAGATGATTGAAAATGAAGTATTTAAATTATTATTTAATTAATTATGTGTTTGCATCATTTATATCGTATATATAATGAAATATTAACAATAAACTGAAAAATCGCAAAAACGTGGAAAAACGGCAAAATATTGCCTAATTCGATGATATTTTGTTTAAATCACATAAAGGGAGAGGAGATGATAAACGTCAAAATATTGCTAAATTCGATGATTTTTCGTACGAAACAAAATGCAAGAAAACATGCTTAAAATGAAATATTATGCGACATTCTGAAATTTGAAGGCCGAATCACTTATTGTGATACTACATGAAATAGTATCGAAATATTGGTAAAAATGAATATATTTACGTAATATCAAACTAAATGATTAACGTGAAAAAGTCACTATTTTACCATATATGAGGATTTTAACTTCAAATAATGGAGCGAGGTTTCGTATTATTTAGATCCAAGAAAAGACATGAGAATGGTGTTTCCAATACAAATGATAAAAAACAATGTGTTTTCATTAGAATTAACTAAAATGTTCTTGATTTTCCGTTTATATTACCGATGGAAGATGTACACGTAAAACCGTTCTAATCCGGCTGAAACGTCGATATATGCAATAAAAACCGAACTTCTCCAATTTTCAATATCTTACTCAGTATTTTAACGAGAAACAAATAGATGATTGAAAATAAAGTACTTAAGGTTATTATCTAATCAATTAAGTGTTTGCATCATTTTTATCGTATATTTAATGAATTTATACCCATAGACTGAAAATTCACAAAAACGTGGAAAAACGGCAAAATATTGCCTAATTCGATGTTCAAGTTCAAGTTCAAGTATGTTTATTGAGACAAGAAAAAAATACATCTCAAAGGGATAGAGTAGCTTAGGCTATTTCTACCCCCCTCTACTTCAAGTCCCTCAAGGGGCGCACAAATTCAGTGAGTACAGATACACAAATCACAATACAACATTTAACATTGCATATTAATATAGTAAGTGTTACAATCATTGGGGCAAAATTCTTGTAGTTCCTAAGTATTCTGTCTATCATATCATTATCACACATCCAAACAATTTGAAGTGGTACACTACTTATTTCCTTATTTCTATGGTTATCCATAATTTGACACTTTAATACATAATGGTCTTCCAAGTTCAAGTAGGTTTATTGAGACAAGTTAAAAAAAAAAAAAAAAAAAAAAAAAAAAAAAAAAAAAAAAAAAAAAAAAAAAAAAATCAAAGATTAGCTTAGGCTATTTCTACCCCTTCCCATACTTCAAGTCCCTCAAGGGGCGCACAAATTCAGTGAGTACAAATACAAGAATCCCATGTAACATATCAGGTTAATATAGTACTATCTAAGAGTATAATAGTGTACATCCACCGCACTAGATTTTAACCCATTAACGCTCCAAGATAATATTCTCACTCTACTTTCATCCATGATTTAATAAAACTACCTTTGCCCTGTCTGTCACATTCCATGAGATACGAGATTTTCTCAGACAGACTCTCCCAACACTGTAACATTTCTGCTTTCTCCTCATTTGCACAACAGCTACTAGCATCAAAGGTGATCTTATTCATATCTAATTTCTTTCTTATTTCTCTATACCGTTTTACTTTAACCTTTGTTTCGACATTTGTCACTACAGAAGGTTGAACGCTAACACTACTAGAAAGTTCATTTTCCTGACTATCCTCTATCATCAATACGTCATGTTCTTCCTTACTTTCTTCAACGCACATTTCACGTCCTGTTTCACTTTCCACTTCACGTCCTATTTCACTTTCCATTTCACGTCCTGTTTGACTTTCCATTTCACGTCCTGTTTGACTTTCCATTTCACGATATTTTGTTTAAATCACATTAAGGAAAAGGAGATAATAAACGTCAAAATATTGCTAAATTCGATGATTTTTCGTACGAAACAAAATGCAAGAATATTGCTTAAAATGCAATATTATGCGAAATTCTGAGATTTGAAGGCCAAATCACATATCGTGATACTACATGAAATAGTATCGAAATATTGGTAAAAATGAATGTATTTACGTAATATCAAACTACATGAAAAACGTAAAAAAATCACTATTTACCAATATTTGAGGATTTTAACTTCAAATCATAGAGCGAGGTTTCATATTATTTAGATCCAAGAAAAGACATATGACAATGTTGTTTCCAATACAAATGATAAAAACCAAACGAATTAACTAATATGTTCCTGATTTTCCGTTTATATTACCGATGGAAGATGTACACGTGAAACCGCTCTAATCCGGCTGAAACGTCGATATATGCAATAAAAACCGAACATCTCCCCTTTTCAATATTCTACTCAGTATTTTAACGAGAAACAAATGGTTGATTAAAAATAAAGTATTTAAGGGTTATTTCTAATCAATTATGTGTTTGCATCATTTTTATCGTATATATAATGAATTAATAACAATAAACTGAAAATTCACAAAAACGTGGAAAAACGGCAAAATATTGCCTAATTCGATGATATTAGGTTTAAATAACATAAAGGAAAAGGGGATGATAAACGTCAAAATATTGCTAAATTCGATGATTTTTAGTACGAAACAAAATGCAAGAAAACTTGCTTAAAATGCATTATTATGCGAAATTCTGAGATTTGAAAGCCAAATCACATATTGTGATACTACATGAAATAGTATCGAAATATTGGTAAAAATGAATATATATAAGTAATATCAAACTATTGCAGAAGCCACCTCCATCCACAGCTTTAAGGCCAGATTCGACCAAGAATTCGAACGTCCAAATAGTTCAATAGTAAACGAGAGACAAGATACATCATGGGGTAGTTAGGCAAGAGCATAAAGAGCTATAACTCACTTCCCCTCTCCCCCGCAGACACTAATAGGTAAGTGCATATATATTCGTTTGCCTTGTTCGGGGTAGAAGGTAGACACAGTAGTCGCTTCTGTATATATTTATTGACTGAGATAGCAAGGTATATATCTGCCTAGCCGAGGTCCTTCTACTCTGAGTCTGTGTGGAGAACTGAGGCTGCTGGGAGCATGCCTGATGCTCCTCTGTCTGGCATGACGTCAGAGGCCTACTCGCCTGTGATTGGTTACATTTCAACTGACAGAATTTGAGTATAACATATAGATGCAAACACTGGGGGTTGGGGGAGGGGGGGTTGGGTAGGAAAAGGCAGGCTGAGCTGTAACTATGGTAACGGGTCGTGGAGACTCCCCATCACCAGACCAGCATCCAGGGGCTCTCACCTCTCCCAGCCTCACCATCACTCTCCCCTCCTCCCCCCCGTCCTTCACTATCATTAGCCGTATTCACCATCATCCTTCTCATCGTCGTCATTATCAGAGATAATCTTTTCACACTATCATCATGACTTATCTCTTCATTTCCCCTCCCCCCTCCTCTTCTCACTATCTTGCTCATAACCATCACTATCATGCTTGTCATCTTCATTGTCATCTGCATCCGCCTCTCTCTCTCTCTCTCTCTCTGTCATCATTCTTACCATCATAGTGTTCTTCTTCACTATCATTCTCATCAAAAATATTTTCACCGTCACCATCCTCGTACTTGTGTCAACTCTCGCCATCTTCACTATCAGCATGCTATCATAATCTCCCTCACTATCATCCCCTCACCCCTCATACACCTTCTCCTCACCCCTCATCACCTTATCCTCACCCCTCATCACCTCACCATACTTATCCACACAATTATCTGCTCCTCAGATATTCTCCTCTTCACCAGTGTATCGTCACCATCATTACTATCATCCTCACCATCCTCACCATCATCTTTCCTCACCATTCTCATCTTCCTCATTACCCTCGTCGCCATCCTCATTTTCACCTTCGTCCCCTATCATCTTCATCATTGTCCTCCTCACTATCCTCATCATCTTCGTCACCATCCTCCTCAACCTCACCATCATTCTGATTAATTACTTTATGTCCCTGGGCTCCAATTAGAAAGATTTAAAATTAATTTTAATTTTCAACTACATCTTAATCATCATTAATCATCGGGCGGCTGGTAGGGACATCCACGTCTCAAGGATGGCCACCTTCACGTGATGAGGTCTGGCCACTGTACCCTCCCCCTAGTAACTCACATGATGAGGTCTGGCCACTGTACCCTCCCCTAGTAACTCACATGATGAGGGCTGGCCACTGTAACCTCCCCTAGTAACTCAACCCTTCATAATCTGCTGCAAGATAACTTGGTACTCCTAATAACAATTTCTCAGCCTTATTTCTTTTTTAGATCACTGTTCCCTAACTCACTCCCTAACTCGAATATATTAATTCGAATTAGCACAAAGCCTGTGCACTCTAGCCAGCACAAAGACTAATACATTGTTCCCTATATAGATCCTTTATATACCATTAACAAAGCACAAACCTCAAAGATACGACAAGAACACAAACCTCAAAGATGCGATCAACGTGCTCTTGCGTGGTGTTCTCCTCGACGGCCGGGGAGGAGTGGCGACCCACCAAAGAGTAGATGGCGGCTACGATATCGAACATCTCCTCCTTAGTGATGTAGCCGTCGCCGTTGATGTCGTAGAGGTTGAAGGCCCAACGTAGCTTCTCCGTCATAGACCCTCGCGACAGGTCCGAGAGTATGGTGACGAATTCCTGGGGACGGTAGGCAGGGTGAAGCTTTGCGCAGAGAGTGATGGAGAGATACTTAAGCACCTCTTGGCTTCTTAAATGGGGGTTGGTTTGTGTGTGCGTGTGTGTGTGTGTGTGTGAGAGAGAGAGAGAGAGAGAGAGAGAGAGAGAGAGAGAGAGAGAGAGAGAGAGAGAGAGAGAGAGAGAGAGAGAGAGAGAGAGAGAGAGAGAGAGAGAGAGAGAGAGAGAGAGAGAGAGAGAGAGAGAGAGAGAGAGAGAGAGAGAGAGAGAGAGAGAGAGAGAGAGAGAGAGAGAGAGAGAGAGAGATGAGAGAGAGAGAGAGAGAGAGAGAGAGAGAGAGAGAGAGAGAGAGAGAGAGAGAGAGAGAGAGAGAGAGAGACAGAGAGAGAGAGAGAGAGAGAGAGAGAGAGAGAGAGAGAGAGAGAGAGAGAGAGAGAGAGAGAGAGAGAGAGAGAAGAGAGAGAGAGAGAGAGAGAGAGAGAGAGAGAGAGAGAGAGAGAGAGAGAGAGAGAGGAGAGAGAGAGAGAGAGAGAGAGAGAGAGGAGAGAGAGAGAGAGAGAGAGAGAGAGAGAGAGAGAAGAGAGAGAGAGAGAGAGAGAGAGGAGAGAGAGAGAGAGAGAGAGAGAGAGAGAAGGTGAAGGGACGACGACGTTTCGGTCCGTCCTGGACCATTCTCAAGTCGAAGAATGTCTCAAGAATGGTCCAGGACGGACCGAAACGTCGTCGTCCCTTCACCTTCTAGTGTGTGGTCTGGTTATCATACTTTAGCCACGTTATTGTGACTCATCGCCTGCTTATTAAAGCAACTTTCCTTTCACTGCGAGTTTGTAAAAGCATCTTAATCACCTTCAGTGGTTAAGTGGTTAATATCACAGTAGTTTCTATAGAGGCTATCTTACCCTGTCAAAGTAGGAGAGACATAGGTGTATGTATGTATATATATATGGTATATGCGTAAATATGTACATGTGTGTATATTTGTATACAGGGTATGTAGAGGTTGACCAGAATTGAATTTCTCCTTTGTAAACGCACATTAATGATACTATGTAAAAAGACACCTCGAACTCTGTTTATGTAGAACAGACGTAAGTCTGTGAATTTATGACTGTAGGTCAGCTTAGCATTTTAAAAACACTACAATCACCTTCTGTGGTTGACTGTTCAATAAATCACTAAATTATATGTTTAACAAATCTCTAACCCTGTCCATGGAGGACAGAAGAAAATGTATATATGCTGGTTAGCATTGTAAATGTGTGGCCACGTCTGTGGTAAATAATAATAATAATAAAAAATAATAATAATAATGATAATAATAATAATAATAATAATAATAATAATAATAATAATAATAATAATAATAATAATAATAAAATAAAAACTCCTCATCCCTCCCTCTCCCTCCATTAACTTCTACTCTTCCTCCACATCCATTAATAATTCAAGCATCTTTTTTAAATATTTTTTCTAAATGATCTTTATTTCAAAACTTCAAAAAAGAGTTCCAAAATACTTATTGGCGTCCAAATTTGCCTTTAATACCCAGGTATGAATTTTTACACACACACGTAGCTCCCTCTGCCTAAGTATATTCATATATATTAAAATAATTAATAATTTTTTTACGGCACTTTATATTTTAAGTTTTTTTTTCAATGTAAGTTTGTTTCCTAAAATATTTGATTGAATTACACCAATGAACAACGCTATGGCAGGTTTGGATATTTCGTGTTTTTCACTCGTTAGGCTCTCGGTAGGTTATCGTTAGGCTCTCGTTAGGTTATCCTTAGGTTCTCGTAAGGCTTTTGTTAGTCTCTCATTAGGCTCTCGTTAGGCTCTCGTTAGGTTCCCATTAGGTTCTCGTTAGACTCTCGCTAAGCTCTCGTTAATCTCTTGTTAGGCTCTCGCTCTCGGCGTAGTTTCCCTCCCATCAGGAAACATAGTTTCCCAGGATAGTTTTCCCTCTCACACTGCCAGGAAAATTAAGAATAAAAATAATTATGCTACTTTCTGATTACATTTTGAGTGTGTGAGGACAGGCAGGCAGGAGGGGGTTACTCAGTAGACAAGATATTTTAAAGTTCTTGCGAGGCAGGATCAAGTATAACATTTGGGGGCTTAAGGCTCTGTGATGGTGTGAAATATTGGTGTACTGAGAATTATATAAATTATACGTAATGTAGTATTTTCCTTGTAAATTGATGTATATATGACACTTATGCCGTATATTATTTAATAAAGAGAAAAAAGGTAATCTCAACATCTATTCACACTCTAGAGGACTTTAAGATTTACGTCATTCACTCTCATCCGGTCTCTCTTACAGAAGCTCTATCAAAGGTTCTCACACTATGTCCCTCGCTTTCACACTCAAAGCAAGATTCTCACTGTCACACTCAAAACATGATTCTCACTGTCACACTCAAAGCAAGATTCTCACTGTCACACTCAAAGCATGATTCTCACTGTCACACTCAAAGCATGATTCTCACTGTCACACTCAAAGCATGATTCTCACTGTCACACTCAAAGCATGATTCTCACTGTCACACTCAAAGCAAGATTCTCACTGTCACACTCAAAGCATGATTCTCACTGTCACACTCAAAGCATGATTCTCACTGTCACGCTCAAAGCATGATTCTCACTGTCACACTCAAAGCATGATTCTCACTGTCACACTCAAAGCATGATTCTCACTGTCACACTCAAGCAAGATGTCCACGCTCACCAGTCTTCCGTTCTCATGGGGCCCCAGCTTTAATAGCATAGTTTTCTTCATATATTCTCTCTTGTTATTACATTTCACTCGTATGTTATCATTTATGTTATCATTCGATATCAGCTGCCATACCGACGACAGCTGTACACAACAGATGATTCAAACTAAACAACAGAGTGCACACCTGATCGCTTCGCTCTTTTATAATCACTGTCAGAGACACACTTCATATTTTGTTATGTATTCTTGGTGATATTTACTCATTAAATTATCGGCAACAGTCAACGGAGGTCAGGAAACAACGGTCAGTCAACGGATGCCAACAAAAGAACTTTGTCAACGGAAGACAAGAAACAACGGCTAGCCAACGGCATACAAGAAACAATTCCCGGTATATTTTCGCTTTTCCCCCAACTAGACAATTTCAAATCAACAATTCGCAAACAATTTTCTGTGAGGCTGCGACTCATCTCAGCCGCGTCAGCGGCTAGGCTTCCAACAAATGGCTTTGTGAACGACAGCTGCGTTGGTTGGATTACCACGCGCCGACAATATGGTCTCTCTCTCTCTTCTCTTCAATTCTCGCATTAATTCAAGCAAGCACCTGCCTCGCACTCTATAAACAAAATACAAACTTGATAAGATTCGATGGCATTAAAACAACACTGGATGTGTTCTCAGTCTTCCATACAAGTATATCTCACAATTTCAAAGCATTTTCTGGAAAAAAAGCATTAGAAATTATTGAGTTTTGTATAACTCCAGGGAGCCTACTTACAGTTAGGTGAACAGAACCATAAGGTAAGAGAAATATATAAGTATATAACTTCGTAAAATGGAAAGGAGCCACAAAATATCTAGTTTCAAACTGCTAAAACTTATGCAAAACTAAATAAGAGTTAATAAAACTATGAATCTTCTCACATCTGTCAAAAGCACCTGTATTTACTTAAAATTATCTTGAACAAACATTAGAAAAATATCCAAAAAACTAATTAAAAATAACAAATCTACCAATAAACATTAGTATGATTACATTCTGTTTATGAGAGTCTAGGATTGATGAGATGCATTAATTTTGGAAGCGAGTTATTAATTGTAGACCAATTATAACAATATTATAATTGTAGACAATTATAATACTGTGATATATTATCACAGTATTATAATTTATATAGATACGCACATACACACGTATATATATTCTTCAGTTTCTCTGTGGTTCTTTGCATGTCTAATTTTATATATTAAATTAAATAAACCTCATAGGAATCCTCTTGATATTCCAGTTGCATTCGTTATTTTAGTTTTATTTACTCCCACCTCAATTGCCCCTGTTTGTAACATTAATGATTGTGTGTGTGTAATACATATATATATATATATATATATATATATATATATATATATATATATATATATATATATATATATATATATATATATATATATATATATATATTCTGCTTCTAATGTGTAGAGTAGAGGCAGGAAAGATTATTTTGGAGGAAGGCCAATCAATGGGATGATTAGAATCCCTAACATGACAGAAGAGAGCATTGTTAGTGTCTGCAGACTTAACACTTCTTTTGTGTTCTTTAAGTCTGTCGTTAAGTGTACGGCCAGTTTCACCAAAGTATTGGAGAGGACAAGACGAACAGGAAATAGAGTAGACACCAGCAGCATTAGAAGCAGGAGGAGTAGTGTGAACTAGATTGCTACGAAGTGTGTTAGTTTGTCGAAAGGCGAGCTTTATGTCAAGACTACGAAAGGTATTAGTAAAAGTTTTGAGTTCAGATATGAAGGGAAGGCAGAGCACAGTGCTACTAGTATTGGAAGCTGGTTTAGGATGAAAGAAATTTCGTTTAGCTTAAGAATACGCACAGTTGATAAAATGCAAAGTGTAACCAAGGCGAGAGAATGATTTGTAGATAAAGGCAATTTCAGAATCAAGAAATTGAGGATCGCTGATGCGTAGAGCGCGAAGAGAGACGACACTTTTCTTAACAGAAGGAGGATGGTAGGAAAAGAAGTGAATGTACATGCCACTATGCATGGGTTTACGGTAGACTGAGAAAAAGAACCCGGACACAGAGCTGTGAACGTGAACGTCAAGAAAAGGAAGGAGGGAATTAGATTCCCATTCAACTTTGGAATGGATGGAAGGAGCCAGATTGTTAAGAGAAGAGAGGAAAGGGCGGAAAAGACTAAGGTCATGAGGCTATAAAGCAAAAATGTCATCAACATAGCGAAGCCAGTGAAAGGGACGAGTATCAATAGAACGAAAAACAGTTTCTATGTCGTCGTCCCTTCTCTTTCTAGTGTGTGGTTTGGTCAATAATAAATACACTTATTGTACCCTTACCTCCTCAAATATTCTCCTAATTTTGTGTTAATACGCTCAAAATGTTTTGGTTGAAGGTTTCGAGTTCAATTCTTTATGCACAAGATTTAAATCTGAAGAATTTCTTTTTCACTTTTATTAAACAATAGAGATTTTATACAAAATTTGAAAATATCCTGAGTTACTTTATAATTTTTTGAAAAGACTTTAGTTTTGTTTTATTAGTTATATAAAATTGTTAATATCACTATAGCTATAGGTTAAGTATTAATTGTAATTAAGAAGCAATAAATGCAATTTACATGCTTGTCCTCCTACACTCCCAAGGTCGTCTGTAGTCGTGGTTTTCTATTCAGCCTTTCAGATAAACTCTAATATTAACAATATTTTGGTGTGATGCTGGCGATTAAGTGTATTTATGTACTATGCCGATAGTCAGGAATGTACTTATTACATTTAGTATTAAAACGTACTGTCTATTCGGAGGATGGGCTGTAAACAAGTATACGGTTGCATACGTATCTTGGAAGTGTATATTTTGTGACTTAGATTTCATGGCTCTATATGCTCTAAGTCTGTGCAAAGAGCGGTTCTTACTTGATTATCCGAACATGCCAAAGAAAACAAAAGCATCAACCTATAAACCGTCCTGTATCGGGGGATAACTACTATAAATAACCTTATTATTATTATACAAATTATTATCCTATGACTCATAATAACAATAACAAATTATTAAATACTAATAATCTATTAAGAGCTTGAGGAACGAACGATGAACTTCAGTATCGACGACCGTTTTCTTCACAGCCTAGTCGAAATGTATTTAAACAAAAAAATGTACCAGTGGGTGACTTACCTCAAAGCTGATGGATCCTTGGTGTTCTGTGTCGAATGTGTTGAAGACGTAGTGTGCGTAGGCCGTTGCGTCTGGGGATGATGGTGGGCATTAGTGGTGATGGTGGGCATCAGTGGTGATGGTGGGCATTAGTGGTGATGGTGGGCATTAGTGGTGATGGTGGGCATCAGTGGTGATGGTGGGCATCAGTGGTGATGGTGGGCATTAGTGGTGATGGTGGGCATCAGTGGTGATGGTGGGCATCAGTGGTGATGGTGAGCATCAGTGGTGATGGTGGGCATCAGTGGTGATAGTGGGCATCAGTGGTGATGGTGGGCATCAGTGGTGATGGTGAGCATCAGTGGTGATGGTGGGCATTAGTGGTGATGGTGGGCATTAGTGGTGATGGTGGGCATTAGTGGTGATGGTGGGCATTAGTGGTGATGGTGGGCATCAGTGGTGATGGTGGGCATCAGTGGTGATAGTGGGCATCAGTGGTGATGGTGGGCATCAGTGGTGATGGTGGGCATTAGTGGTGATGGTGGGCATTAGTGGTGATGGTAGCATCAGTAGGGATGGTGGGCATCAGTGGTGATGGTGGGCATCAGTGGTGATGGTGGGCATCAGTGGTGATGGTGGGCATCAGTGGTGATGGTGGGCATCAGTGGTGATGGTGGGCATAAGTGGTGATGGTGGGCATCAGTGGTGATGGTGGGCATCAGTGGTGATGGTGGGCATCAGTGGTGATGGTGGGCATCAGTAGGGATGGTGGGCATCAGTGGTGATGGTGGGCATCAGTGGGGATGGTGGGCATCAGTGGTGATGGTGGGCATCAGTGGGGATGGTGGGCATCAGTGGGGATGGTGGGCATCAGTGGTGATGGTGGGCATCAGTGGGGATGGTGGGCATCAGTGGTGATGGTGGGCATCAGTGGTGATGGTGGGCATCAGTGGTGATGGTGGGCATCAGTGGTGATGGTGGGCATCAGTGGGGATGGTGGGCATCAGTGGTGATGGTGGGCATCAGTGGTGATGGTGGGCATCAGTGGTGATGGTGGGCATCAGTGGGGATGGTGGGCATCAGTGGTGATGGTGGGCATCAGTGGGGATGGTGGGCATCAGTGGTGATGGTGGGCATCAGTGGGGATGGTGGGCATCAGTGGTGATGGTGGGCATCAGTGGCATTAAGGATGGTGGTGGTGGAAGGTACTTTATAACGAAGGTAACGCTGTATTTGTAACAATGTGTGGGGCAGATATTGTTAGTGTTGGGTCTTACAGGTGAGAAACTTGATGACAGTGGCGAGGACAAATGATTACACACACACACACACACACACACACACACACACACACACACACACACACACACACACACACACACACACACACACACACACACACACACACACACACACACACACACACACACAGTCTCCAGGGAACACAGGGGTAGCAACAGGTCCAGCCAACACTGAACACATCGTCACTACCCACGCGGATATTCATTTCCTGTCGCACTCATGTCCCCGGGAAGGCTTGGAGTGGGGCGCGGGGGATTGGGGTCTAGCCAGGGTCAAGGGTCAAGGGTTCAGGGGTCAGGCTAGAGTGTCCTGGAACTCTCTAAAGGAAGTATCAGATCAATGTGAATTAGCCTGCCACTTTCCTCAGTTGTTAATCGAGAACGCAGCCACTGTACTACGGAAACCCAATCATTTCACATAGAAAACTGAACGAGGAATTTAAGCAAATGGACACCAGTAGTATGACACATATCATTCGTATAGAGCCAAAATATATCTTCTGATCTGTGGCATACTTAAGCATACTGGCGGCCTTATGAGTGAATCTGCGAGCATCCAAACCTAACCTATCGGTGCCAATGTATAGAAAACGTCGATAGTATACTCCATTACTTTTTACTAATACATCTCATCTGGTCGAATCCGTTGCAAATGCAACTTATTAGTTTAGAGCACCGGCTGCTCACCTGCACCTAGAGGCAAAATATTGCTCACCTTGACGGAGAAATTGCTTCCTGGACCCTGTAATGTTTCCTCACAACAGATGCCTCTCTCGCCTCATAAAAAAACCTCTCAGATTAAATGCAGTTGCATAATGTAATTTCATCAGATTGCATTAAATATATGAAAACAGATGGTTGGACGAAGCTTCTGCAACTGTTGCAACACCCAATGACAACCATGCAACACGAGACGAGGGCACTGTGTACTGTACACACTGTAGACGACACTGTAGACGACAACATCTACCACAAACGAACAAATATTTACGTTAGTGACATGTCTACTCTCTCCCTTAAACAGAGGTCATTTCCCAATCGTAAAATGGATTGTAAATCAAATCACAGGTATACAGGATCCAGCGAAAGGCCTGCTACTGACTTCCCATGACACGCTACTGACTTCCCATGACACGCTACTG